CGATAACAATATAGAAGCACAATGGCAGAGAATTGCCCACTTCCTACAAACTGCAGCAAAAGCAACACTTGGGTACCAAAGATCACCATCAGAATCCATAGTAGATCAGGAGTGTCGTAATGCTACTGATATGAAAGACGCAGCGTATAGGGCAACCCTGCAGACAGTAACAACACGTAATGTGATGGAGAACTATCTGGAGAAAAGGAGAGAGGAGAAACGTATTTTCAGAAAAGAGAAGAAAGAACAAGAAAAACGTCAGCGTGGATTTTTTAAAGAATATTTTTTCAAGGACCTACATAAGGCGTGGATTTTTTAAAGAATATTTTCAAGGACCTACATAAGGCGTGGATTTTTTAAAGATATTTTTTCAGGGTCCTATATATGGCTTGGTTTTTTTTAAAGAATATTTTTTCACTGACCTAAAATAAGGCGTGGATTTTTTAAAGAATATTTTTTCAAGGACCTACATAAGGCGTGGATTTTTTAAAGAATATTTTTTCAAAGAAGGCCTATATGAGGCGTGGATTTTTTAAGGATTCATTTTCCAAGGCCTATATGAGGCGTGGATTTTTTAAGGATTCATTTTCCAAGGCCTATATGAGGCGTGGATTTTTTAAAGATTCGTTTTCCAATTGTTCTTATACGTCATCCCTATTCCTAACAAGCCATCACTTTGATTTCTTTGTGAGAACAAGTCTATTTAAGAAATTGGATGGAGCAATCGAAGCAGAACCATAACAAATCGATCATATCAAACAATCATTTTTTGTAGTTTCAATTGAAATTGTTATTGCGCGATGAAATGTGGTGAGGTTCTTTCAAAGAATAAAAGAATAAAACCTGAAAACATAACCGAATGTAATTTGCCGAACAATAAAAACACTTTGAACAATATTTATAGTGAAGGAACATATAACGATTTTCAAATTTAACACACTCCTCCCCATCCCCATTTCTATTTCTTCCCACTATGACAAATTGTGTAATTTCCACTTGCCATTGAACAACAATGGCTATTTGGCAGACCACTCAACCTAAAAAAAACCCGAAGAACTTAAATACTTTCACGGCATCCGGTTTACCCAGCATCAGTCTTGTGTCATTCATTTGGTCACGACAGTCAGTCAATCAATCAATCAATTGCGAATTTAACTACCCACCAACACCACCACCGCCAGCCCCATCACCGTCATCATCACGTTTACGTAGCACTTGAACAGACAGACCATCATTGACGTCGATTTTGTCAAACATGCCGAACGAGGCCGTGTAAGAACAAAACACCAACAGAAAAAGAGACAAAGCCAACAAAACAAAAAAAACCCTATGTATACTGGGGCTAGGAATGCCTGTCATTCTCGAAAAGCATTCATGTGAAATGTGTACAACAATCCCAATGACTAGCTTTCCCACTATTTGGATGGACTAAAGAACTGTTGACAATCTCTGAAACCGAAATGCGATGACAAAACTTTAGATTGGTGGTATGAATAGGCGGCTAAGGCAGAATGAGGAAAGAGAAAAAATAAACGTAAACTAGGAAGAAAGAAGCGTAATTCCATTGTTTGGTTTTTTAGATAAACGAGAAAGAGATTAAAGGCGTCTACATTATCTATAGTCCTTGAAAAAGTCTATTTAAAAAATCCACGCCTTATGATAGTCCTTGAAAAAGTCTATTTAAAAAATCCACGCCTTATGATAGTCCTTGAAAAAGTCTATTTAAAAAATCCACGCCTTATGATAGTCCTTGAAAAAGTCTATTTAAAAAATCCACGCCTTATGATAGGTCCTTGAAAAAATATTCTTTAAAAAATCCACGCCTTATTGTAGGTCCTTGAAAAAATCCACGCCTTATGATAGTCCTTGAAAAAGTCTATTTAAAAAATCCACGCCTTATGATAGTCTTAAAAGTCTATTTAAAAAATCCACGCCTTATGATAGTCCTTAATATTTAAGTCCTTGAAAAATCTATTTAAAAATCCACCTAAAAAATCCGCTTATGATAGCCTTTTTAAAAAATCCACGCCTTATGATAGTCCTTGAAAAAGTCTATTTAAAAAATCCACGCCATATGATAGTCCTTGAAAAAGTCTATTTAAAAATCCACGCCTTATGATAGTCCTTGAAAAAGTCTATTTAAAAAATCCACGCCTTATGATAGTCCTTGAAAAAGTCTATTTAAAAAATCCACGCCTTATAAAAGTCCTTGCAATAAAAACCAATCGCAAAAATTAGATTCAAGTATTAGCCTCTCGAAGTATAAGAGGTATAGTTTCCTTACCTTATTTTATAAACAGGACACTCATAAATATTCTTTGTATCCTGTTTGTCCTTTTGCACTGCCTTAACAAATATAACCGGCATGGCTGGGAATAATTCCTTCAGATAGGCATCGGCTATGGAATTTAACTGCATATCCCAACGGGCACCCTCCATAAAGAGACCATTAATATAGGCACCTTCTCGAGGAGCGGAACTGAAATTGGAAAACAAATTTAAAACAGATTTCTTATATCCACTTCCTCTCCCAAAAAATCCACTTACGATATTTCATCCTTAAACTTCTTGGTAACATCAGTGTTCAAACACATCCTATCCAGAGGCCATTCATTTTTTCGGGCCGTCTGCTGCATAATAGCGGTAAGAAAACTTTGCGGATTAAAGAATCCGCCTAACCACACCGAAGAGGGTAGACGGAAATCTGAAACCCATGTTTCCAGTTCTCGCAGTCGCAATTGTAAATCAGCAAACCATGACTGGAGACCCAATGTACTGGGATAGGCCAATTTTGTCCATGACTCCGGCACCTGATCCATAAATAGGGAAGACATCAGATTTTCCATGGTTGAGGAGATGGTCAACTCTCCCTTTAGACCCAATTCCAGTTCATGCAGCGATCTTTTCAGTTCAGCCATGAGGATATTCATTCGCTCACATTCTTGAAATGCAACCAATATATAGGGGTTACGATCTTCAACACGGGCCATTAGTTCGGGTATATTAAAAGGTGGCGGAATTTTGTCAATCAAATCCTCCAACATACCCTTGACGACATCATCTTGTGAAAGGGCATCACCACCACTGGCATCGGAGGCCCCAGCCAAACGGGGTTGTAATTCGAATACAACCCTAAATAAACGTTCCGATACTGTGGTAAGGAAACCAATTTCAGCATTTAAATGTAGACCATAAAGATTGGGACTTTCCGGTGGAAGATTTTCATCTATGTAGTCGTGATACCCAGCATATTTTAGGATACCAGGGGCACGGAAGCCAGGACAGAATTGCAGTTCACCATCAATTAAATCAGGTTGCATAAATTCCTCTAAATAGGTGCGACACAGCCTGCGATCTCTGTCATCGGTAATGTGACCTCCATACATAATTTCCCCGAAGAGGTAGCGTAAATCCTCCCATGGTACCCGATTATTGGCCTCCAAATAATTGAAGAGAACATAAACGGAGATGGTGAGATCTCCCACATTAAAGGGATACACCCGATTCCAACCTTGGGCGCCAAATTTGCGACGCTCTGCCACCACGGCATGGAAATAGCACAGGGAAAAGAGTATGGCCTTGAATTCCGTCTCCTTGGAACACATTTCCAAGGTTTCATCACTGAAATTGTCCAAAGCTTTGTGTATGTTGGCCTGCATCCCGGTAGGTGGTTCATTCGTTATTTTTATTGCAGACTCCAAAATACCTTGGGGTAAAATATGATAGGCCGGGTCAGGGGATGGTTCGGCACTCAGAAACAAACGGTAATCCGCGTGGACGTCCAGCAGCGAAGCTTCCATTTTCTTTTCCAGCGAAGGCAGCCATCGTGCCACCAAATGTATATTCTGCAATACCACCCAGTGACCCTTCCTCGAAGCCGTATCTATGGCATTCTCCGCCACAATTTCTTGACCCTGACCCAGCGAAACACTATGGAAATTTTCATTATCCGAATGGAAGCCCAAAATCTTTCCCAATTTCTCAACATCCTTGAGGGGATCTACACCCGGTGAGAGGACAAAGAAAATGTGAGTCTCTGGGCTGCTTTCTTCAAATGTTCGCGAAAATTCCATGGACCGGGCATCGATGTATTTGGAGCCCAATTTTTCTTCGATAAAAACTTTCATTGAATATGACATGCGATCGGGACGTATGCACCGCATAATACACAATCTCTGGATGGCTGATTTAGTTTTCCATTCTCCGGGAAATTTTTCACGTTCCGGACACTCGGAATCGATGAAGGTCTTCCAACGTTTCTGTGAAGTTTCCATGTCTTTCTCCAGACCTTTGAAGGCGGGCAAATTACTCAAAGCCTTTATGCCACCCCATCCCATGTTGGTAAGGAATGACAAATTGGAGGTGATGTTGACCATATAGGGGAATCTGAGAAGGAAATCCAATTCCGCCGGTTCCACCTCTCCAGCATTGATGAGTATCTGTATACACAGCTGGGTAAGGAAAATCAATTTATCCGCTTCAAACAAACCTCTAGAGGTATACATAAAGGCACAATAGGTAATCGAGTCAATAAGGTTCTCCACCCTCTCCTTCAGTCTCTCCGACACCTGGGCTTTGGCAATGGCATTCGAGAAGACCACAGTAAAAGCCTTTAAGGAAAACTGATAAATGGGATTGATTTTAAATAAATCATTGAGTATAAAATAAATAATCGAAGCCCTCTCCGATGCCGGACGGTATGCCTCTCTTGCCGTATCGATTTGCACTGCAGTAATTTTTGCCTCCGCCACTTTGATTTCAATTTCATCGGCCGTCTTTTTGGTCTTTTCCAAATTCATAACCAATGAAACATCTTCCAAAACATTCTCCCCAGCCGAGGAGAGCCTTTGCAACAAATCATCTTCCAAGAATTTCAGGGTGATTTTAAAATGATTCTGCTGTTGGGTCAAACGTGAACGGAGGACCTCCAAATCAGGTCTTTCCGCCTTTACCACCTCAGCCAATAGCTGATCTTCCAACCCATCACGTGTAACCGTGAAATTTATCAACGTTGTTTGGGCCTGCATTTCGGGTTTATAATGTGGATTGGCCAATTTGGTGTGTAAGATCAAGCGGAACTTAGGATTATAATCGATTTCACGATCACCCATTTTCAGACATGTACCCTTTTTGATTAGCATTCTACCCAGCAGAGGATTTAACACTGCATCTATATTTTCTCCAATATTTTCCAAAAGCAAAACATTGCCATTGCTCACAGCCTGTTCGATTTTATCCAAATATCCTCTTTGGGTTAGGCGCAACACCACAATATTGCTGGCATATTTATTTTTCACCCACTTGATGCCCTGCCTAAAAACGGAGGAGAAAATTTTTTGAAATTCACCAAAAAATTAAAAATGATTGAACTCACAATTGCGGATCAATCATCAAGGGATATCGCTCCGAATGCACCAATATCGCCGCATTTTCGGCAGACATGCGATCACTGGGCAATCCTTGATTATTCCACTCAGCAATTTGGGCATCATCACAAATCATTTCAAATGGATCCGAATCTTCACTGGAGGGTATGCGGGGCTAAAAATGGAACCGTAATAAAAACAAATTGATGCCGAATCTACAAAACATTACCTCACTGCCCTTGAAGGCTGGTTGCCACATTTTTGTTTGCAATTCTGTGCGATAGGCCCGAGTAAAGCAGCCGACATAGGAAATAAAGCAGGCTATCAGGAGGATATCCCCTGGCAAAGTTTCGTGGCTGGTCTTGAGGCTAGAGGAAAAATTAACAAACATATTTGTTAAGGACTATTGATACGTGGATTTTTTAAAAATAATTTTACAAGGGCTATTATAAGGCGTGGATTTTTTAAATATTTTTGAGCACTATTCGTAGGCGTGGATTTTCTAAAAATATTTTTTGAGGACTATTCGTAGGCGTGGATTTTCTAAAAATATTTTTTGAGGACTATTTGTAGGCGTGGATTTTCTAAAAATATTTTTTCAAAGACTATTCATAGGAGGATTTTTTAAATCGATTTTTTTATACCCTTCACCACACTGTGGTACAGGGTATTATGTCCTAGTGCATATGTTTGTAATAGGAAAAATAAATCGAGATGGACCCACGGCTCCTTTTGAGAAAATGCATTGAATCACATTCTGAGGTGATTTAATCGTGTCCGTCTGTAAATCCGTCCAGGTATTTTTGTGAGAAAAGTTTAGGTCGCATTTATGATCCGATTTTCATGAAATTTGCTACATGTCACTTATTTGGCCTAAGGACGAACCCTATTGAAATGGGAGAAAATGGGTTCCGATTTAGATATAGCTCCCATATAAAGTTTCGTCCGATTTTATGTAAATAAAGCACCATACATCCATTATTGGTCCGATTGAGACGAAATTTTGCACAGAGTACTAAATTAGGCCCAGATTAATGTATGCGAAGTTTCGATGAAATCGGATCAGATTTAGATATATCTCCCATAAATAGGTTCGTCCGATTTTTTGAAAATGGTGCACCAAAGAGTCAAATTTAGACCGATTGGCAAAAAATTGCATAGCGTTATATATTAGGTCCAGATTGATATATGCGAAGTTTCGTGAAAATCGGTTCAGATTTAGGTATAGCTCCCATATATATTTTCGTCCGATTTTATGTAAATGATGCACCGAAGTCGCTATATTTATTTCGATTTAGACGAAATTTGACATAGCGTACTGAATTATTTCCAGAATGATGTGTGCCAACTTTCGTCAAAATCGGTTCAGATTTAGATATAGCTCCCATATATATCTTCGTCCGATGTTATGTTAATGGATCCCCAAGATCCCTATATATCCTTCCATTTAAACCAATTTTTGGCTTAGCGCACTGAATTAAGTGTAGAATTAGTGTGCTAAGTTTCATAAAAATCGCTTCGGATTTAGATATAGCTCCCATATATATTTTCGTCCGATTTTATGTAAATGATGCACCAATATCCATACAAAACTTTCGATTTGCACGAAATTTGACCTAGCGTACTGAATTAAGTGTAGAATGATGTGTGCTAAGTTTCGTGAAAATCGGATCAGATTTAGATATAGCTGGTAACGTAAGAACTTCGAATTGTCACAAGAGACATTTGGGTTTGAAAGGTTTTTTGTAAAGAAGCTATTAATAGCTTCTGGGGAGAATATCCCAACAAAAAACTAAGGGAACTGATGAGGATCAGTGGCGAGATCCGAAACTATAGATATAGCTCCCATATATATTTTTATCCATTTTTATGTAAATAGTGCACCAAAATTGGCATAGCGTATTGAAAGGAATTTAGAATGACGTGTGCTAAGTTTCATAAAAATCGGTTCAGATTTAGGTATAGCTTCCATGTATACTTTCGTCTGATTTTATGTAAATAGGGCACCAAAATCCCTATTTATAGTGTGTGTCAAGTTTGCTTTAAATCGATTTACAAAATTTAGCATAGGTTGTAGAATGTGTGCACACAAAGTGTAGGGCCACACATTGATGTTAGCCGGTTTAAATTTTTAAAAAATTAAAAAGATAAAATATTTAAGTTCCTCTAATTTCATATCAAGTTTTGGACCTTTAAAAATGTGACATCGTGCAATATGATGCACACCACCATGCATCTTTTGAATATACCTAAACAAAGTGGTGAAGGGTATCCCTGCTTTAAATCGATTTACAAAATTTAGCATAGGTTGTAGAATGACAAGTGTAGGGATTGATGTTAGCCGGTTTACATCTAGATAAATATCACATATTTAAGTTCCTCTAATTTCATATCAATGGACCTTTAAAAATGTCCTTACTCTTTTGTCAAAGTAAAAAATCCACACTTACTCTTTAAAAAAAATCCACACCTAGGAATAGTCCTTGAGATTTTTTTTAATTCATTGGTGAATATTTTTTTTTAGTATGGTTAACCTTTACTCACTTCTTAACCGATTCCGCCCAACGAATTTTCTCCGAAGCCAATCCGCCAATTAAACGATTAGCCAAATCAATGGTGAATGCCGTCTTGTCAGCCTCATCCTGACATTTTTGTTTTTTCGCCAAGGCATCATCGTATTTCATTTGCAGAACATTTAACTCCTCCTCCAATTCATTGAGACGATTATTGAGAGCAGTTAATTTATCTCGAGCATCTGTCAATTCCTGTTCCGCCTCCATTAAGGCTCTCTCCTTAGGCTCCACCACCAAATATACATCATAGAAACGATTGATGTTTATCACCCATGAACAGAGACCAGCAGCTGCACTTGACTTGGCCAGAATTTTCTCGGGATCAAATTCCGGATCAGCCAAATATGGCTGTAGAGCCTTTATAATATCCGGGTGTATATGTTTCTTGTCATAATTAACCAGATTGTCAAGGAATTTATCAACATTGCCCATAATCTGGCGACATGCCTTCCAGCTGCGATCTTTGGGAATTTTACCCTTTTGGGCAAACAAGACCAATACCGCTGAGCATACATTCACCACAGCCTCGGGTGGTGAGCCGAAAGATTTCAATTCCGTGAGATTGTTTTTGTTTAGAGTATTTAAAGCTTCTTGGGCAGCCAGCAAAGCTGGTTGTGCCTTACGAAAATCTTCTTCACATAACTTGGCCTTGGCGGTAACATCCTCCTCAATCTGCCGCACATTTTTCTCTTCCTTCGAGGCAAATGCTCTCTCTTTGGAAACCTTTTCATTTTCGGTACTCACCACAACAATCAAATTGTCGGCCTCTTCATTTTTAATTTTCAACTCCACCTCTTGAACTTTCAAGACCTCCTGGAGGGCATCAACTTCTTTGGAACAACTAGCCAATTTGATGAGGCCATTTTGAAGGCGTATTCTACGATCCTGATTGGCTTTCACTTTTTCTCTGAGAAGTTTAGTATAGAGGCTGATGAGTTCCAAAAAGCTTTTCGGTGTGGTATAGTTATAACGCTTATCATTAAGTAAATACACTTTCGAGATGTCATTGACGGTCTTGTGAACATAGGCCATGAAACGTGATACGGGTGGGGCAAGCTCTTTGGGTAGAACTTCAATTTCTTGTAGAAACCGATACGACACCGATTCAAGAGCTTCCTGAGGCCATTCATGGAACCAATCAATTGTGGTACAATTCACCAGAGAAGGGAAATTTCGAGCTCGAATTCTCAGTGTTGTACCCACGGGAGAGAAACACAGAACGACTTTCAGGGAACTGCGTACCTTTTCGATAAAATGTTTCCAACAATTTTCCCGATTATCCATAATTCCCAACTGCTTGACTTCATTGCGTACAGCATTGATAATATTTTCCACCTCATCATCGGGGAAAAGCTCATGAATATCTCCCGAGGCCAACAGATCATTGATCAACACTAAAAATTGTTCCCTGGCAACTTCGGCATCAGTCATTAGGAAGCAGGAGGCGGAATTCTTTACACCACATTTCATATAAAGCGTTGCAATATTCGCTTTCAAATCATTGATACCATAATCCTTAGTCAGCTGTATTTGAAAGACATCCAGCGAAGAGATAGATGCTGCTAAACGCGTTAACGACTGTTTACCCGATCCACCAACACCTATAAGCAGAGCATAACCTCTCGACGATTCCATAATACGAGATATCCGGCAAATGTGAGCCATGGCATCTTCAAAGAGTACCAAATTCATGGCCCCAACAAAATCATTATAACGATCTTGAGCCTCTTCCAGTAGCTTGTGTAGCCTTTCCCAATCGGCTACGGGCATATATTTGCTATCTGCCAAGCCTTTAGCAAAATGACAATAAATATGCGGTTTGGCAAATACAATATCCTCATTATAGCTTTCTATGCCCTTGCGTACCATTTCGAGAATTAATTTGTTGTATGTGTTAATGTCGTTTTTATCGACCAGCTTATCGCCATACACCCGATTACATTCATGGGTCCATAGGCGTAGAAGCATATTGGGATTTGGACAGGTTTCAAAGTTGGCATACAACATACCCTGAAAAGAAAATAGGCAACAACATATAAAATAAATATTATTAAACAATTTAAGCCTAAAAATTTGCATTGAAAATGTTAGAAAAATAACCGCGCCTATAAGTATGCATTGAAAAATAATTAAAATATATCCACGCCTATGGATGGCGTAGGGGATGATAGATACCCACAACAGCTCTGATTGGCTTTAACATGGCGAAGTCCAGGCTTATCTTGGTCCCTCTTTCATCTCAATTGTGGACACTGACCTCCCGCGGTGTCACCTGGAGTAACTATTTTCATCTCCCGTTGAAATAGTGAATATGTGCTGCGAGTTCACCCATAAGAACTATAAAAAATGGTTTGAGGCATCGGGTTAGTTGCCCACAAGGGGAAAACCCCTCCTACTATGAAAAAGCAAAGAAAAAGAAAACCTCCGACCGAAGACAATGATGAGCAGACCAAAGACAAATTTTACGAGCGCCTAGAAACATCATATGACCGCTGCCCTGGTCATGACATTAAAATTCTGCTAGCGAATATCGATTTGGACCACTACCTTGTAGCAGCCAAGGTTCGCACTCGTCTTAATGTTGCAGCAAAGGTGCGATCTACCACAACACGAAAACTCGACGTCGAAAAGCTGCAAACACAACAGATAACAGAAGCCTGCTCCGCTCAACTTACCCACCTGCTTGACGAAAGCACTTCTTGTCGCGATAATGGTATAGAAGCACAATGGCAAAGAATTGTCCACTCCCTACATACCGTAGCAAAAGCAACACTTCGGTATCAAATACCACCATCAAGAAAACCATGGTACTATCAGGAGTGTCGTAATGCTACTGATGAGAAAAACGCAGCGTATAGGGCAACCCTGCAGACAGTAGCAACACGTAATGTGATGGAGAATTATCGGGAGAAAAGGAGAGAGGAGAAACGTATTTTCAGAAAAAAGAAGAAAGAACAAAAAAATGAGCAAATCGGGATATACAGGAGTCAGAATGAAGTCCGGAAATTTCACCAGCGAGTACAACATCAAACCGAAGGTTTTGGTGCATGCACATTCTCCTTCAGAGAAGAAGGAGGAATCCTGGTGACAGATACAGACAGCGTGTTGAGGATCTGGAAGGAGCATTTTGAAAAGCTTCTGGTATCAAATAGTGGCGGTGAAGAAGATACGCCAAAACCAATAAGAAATGATGGTATAGCGCGTATACCACCTAGCCAAGATGAGGTCACAAATGCAATTAATCGGCTGATGAACAATAAAGCTGCAGGTGCCGATGGGTTACCAGCCAAACTATTCAAGACTGGTGGTCAGATGCTGATCAGGAGCATGCACCAGCTGATTAGTACAATTTGGCTAAATTAATACATGGCCAATGATTGGAACATCAGCATCCTGTGTCCCGTGCACAAAAGAGGAGATCAGACGATATGTGCCAACTATCGCATCGCATATAAAGTGCTATCCAGTGTGCTGTGTGAACATTGAGGCCAATGGTCAATGACATTATTGGACCATACGAATGCGGCTTCAGACCTGGCAAATCCACCATTGACCAGATTTTCACTCTGCGCCAAATCTTGGAAAAGCCCCACCAAAAACGCATGGACTCGTTCCACCTATTCCTCGACTCTAACGCCGCATTTGACATCCCTATCCGTTCAGAGGTGTTTAAAGCCATTTCTGCGTTCGGCATTCCTGCAAAATACGGCAAAACTACGGATATGCAGGATAACTTTAACTGGTACTGTGTCAGCAGTTAAAATAGGAAAGGACCTATCGGAGCCCTTCAATACCGAACGACGATTCAGACAAGGTGAAAGTTTGTCGTGTGATCTTTTTAACATCCTGCTGAAAAAGGTCATAAGAGAGGCACAGGTGAATAGAAATGGTTCAGGTGAACAGAAATGGCACTCTGTACACCAAACAACTCATGTTACTCGCCTACGCCGATGTCATCGATATAATGTCGAATATTGCGAGCGGTAACAGCCACCTTTGAACAAGTTGATAAGAAGTCGTCCAAAGTGGGCCTGGCAGTAAAAGGCGAGAAGGCCAAGCTGATGGTATCAACGCGCAAGACGTCCAGTAGACTCGAACCAACTGTGGAGGTAGTTAAGGATTTTATATACCTTGGTACCGCCATACCGACATCAGTTTTGAAATTCGGAAAAGGATTCTGATGGCTAACAGGTGCTACTATGGTCTAAGTAAGCAGTTTAGAAACAAGGCCACGTACCGCCAGACCAGACCCGTGCTATTTAATGGATCTGAGGCATGGGTACTTGCGCAAGCAGATGAGGCAGCTCTTGGGGTGTTTGAAAGAAAAATTCTCCGAAAGATATACGGGCCGATCTGCGTCGACGGTGAATATCGGCGTCGAATGAACTACGAGCTTTACAATTTATACGCGGACATCGACATAGTCAGTCGTATTGAGCTGCAGCGACTACGGTGGCTAGGCCATGTTGTGCGGATAAATGAGGATGCCCCACCTGAAATGGCATATAAAAACGAGCCTACTGATGGTTCCCGTAGAAGGGAAAGGCCTCGAATTAGATGGAAAGACCAAGTAGAAAACAACATCGTGGAACGTGGACTTCCAAATTGGTGGATTTGCGCACAACATCGACGCGCTTGGAAATCTTTTTTAAGCTCGGCTTATGGAACATCCGTTCTGTAACAAACCAGCTAAGTAAGTAAGTATGGATAGTGGTTGAAAAATCCACACATACCTAAAAATAGTCTCTCACACCTAGAAAATAGTCCCTTAGAAAAATATTTAAAAAGCTTACGGTAAAAATATTCGAAATATCCCTCAAATTAAAATTGTAATGGAATTTCACAGCTGTGGGTAAAAATGTAGCAGCAATTTTCTGATGCAAATTAATGGCAGTTTGGACCAGAGGTTCGGATAGATTGATAACAGATTTGTCAAACTTATGAATTGGATTTGCTAAGTGTTGGGACAAAATCGAATTGAGAATATGAAAGAGAGCATCCGAACTGGGCTGACTGGAAAGAGAAAGAAAAATAAAAATTACGGATTTCTAGAGACTGCAGGTCAATAATTCCTAACTTACTTCACAGCAAAGGAGCAAAAATGCCTTTGCAACCTTGGATTAATGGTAAATGATCCCGCCGAGGGGTTCATACACGATAAAAATTGACAATTGTGTATATCACGCAGTGTCATCTTGACACGGTCATACCAATGGCGATAATCCATAAATTGGCGAATCAATGTATGCGGTTGCACTGTGCCATATTTATCCACCTCGGGCATATTCATATCATCCACAAAATACAGCATTCGTTTATTACCCTGTGGACCATAGTTACGACCAGCTTTCTTCTCCAAAGGTTTCTCCAATATCCTCTGCAACATTTCCGAGGTGGTGTAAAAATTAAAGGGCACATTGGTGACTGCATATTTTTCCGTTGGCAATGAATTCAATTTTGAATTCATAATAATGGTTTTACCCGAACCCGGTGCCCCTATTAACATAATCGGATAATTATCCTCAATAAGAACATCCATGAAGTAACGCAGACGCGTTGTCTCGGAGGTGTGTACCAAATTCGCCTGCAACGGTACATCGGGATCCAATTCAAAACTTGGCACCAAATCTGTCCATGGTCGGAATTTCTTAGTGTTGTGATCAACGTAATAGGAAAATATGGTGCCAGCTTCGGGGAATTTCACTGTTTTAAATTCATTTGTAAACCATTTATGGAATTCATTACGCCAATCGATAATTTGATCTTGAAATAGGGTGGACCCAAAACCCCAAATGACACAGAATACAAAATAGATTTCATACCAATCTTTGGGACAATCCGCTGGGACATTTTGAGGCGTCAACATACTTTGCAGTAGGAAGCATGTCATTTGCAACATGGCAATATCCGAAATGGGTGTGATTTTCTTAAATTTCACCCGAAATGCATCCAACATGGGTGGTACATATTTATCAAAGAGCACATTGAGAGTGGACACTTCGGAGGCATTCGTGCGTGTATTTAACCAGGACAATATGAACGGTGTCCATCCCAAATCTTGTGGATTAATATATAAAATCCCCGCTCTCGAAACCGTGGCTGGTGTAGCCGATTTCAAATTGGCAATTTCGAACAGCAACCTCATTTCCTTCGTTAAAGCGATACGTTCATTACTGGCCAATGTCAGCACCTTATTATCATCCATAACGGTATTTAAACTTTCAATCCACATTGGATCTATATCACCATCCAGTACAATCCACTTCGGTCCCGTTCCACCCAAATTTGCCTGATCACGCATGGTTATCGAAAATAAACCATCTTTCCATTCGCGTGTAGCCTGATTTACCACTCCGAACAGTTCATCATTTGTTACCGCCTTGGGATTGATGTCATTGTAGTGGGGTTTCCGTTTCTGATTGGCATAGGTTTTATTCAATGTCTTCCACACCTCCGATTTTCCCGTACCCGCAAAACCTATTACGAACACAGAATGCCGCACAGCAAATAATTCTTCTAGTTGTACAATTTTTAAAACGAAACCATCATCGGGTTGTAGTTTAAGGTCTATGGCGGATTTTTTGATGACAGCCTCAAATTCCAAATTTCGTTTACGTGGTACATCCAATGCGGGGAAGAGATCACCAATTAGACCCATGAAGACTGGCAGATCGTCGGTGACAATTTTCGGTATATTAAAATCACGCAAGGCTCTCATCAGAACTTGGTCCTCGGGACGATGGCGATCATCACGCTGTAATTTGAGAAGGAGTTTGAAAATTTTAATTACAGGGGAGGCTGACAAAAGGTTCAAGATCGATTATAAATCCAAGATGAGAGAAGTACTTAATGGTACTTGGTGAAGGAATGGATCTAGGTTTTGAAAATTGATATGGGCCCCTTGAAAAAATATACTTTAAAAAAATTCACGCCTGTGATGGGCCCTTGAAAAAATATTCTTTAAAAAATTCCACGCCTGTGGTGGGCCCTTGAAAAAATATTATATTTAAAAAAAATCCACGCCTGTGGTGGGCCCTTGAAAAAATATTATATTTAAAAAAATCCACGCCTGTGGTGGGCCCTTGAAAAAATATTCTTTAAAAAAATCCACGCCTGTGGTGGGCCCTTGAAAAGATATTCTTAAAAAAAATATATTGAAAAAATATTCTTAAAAAAATATTGAAAAATTATTCTTTAAAAAATCCACGCCTGTGGTGGGCCCTTGAAAAGATGTTCTTAAAAAAAATTGAAAAAATATTCTTAAAAAAAAAATTGAAAAAATATTCTTAAAAAAAGTTGAAAAAATATTCTTCAAAAAAATCCACGCCTGTGGTGGGCCCTTGAAAAAATATTCTTTAAAAAAATCCACGCCTGTGGTGGGCCCTTTGCATAAATGTTCTTTAAAATCGACGCCTGTGGTGGGCCCTTGAAAAAATATTCTTTAAAAAAATCCACGCCTGTGGTGGGCCCTTGAAAAAATATTCTTTAAAAAAATCCACGCCTGTGGTGGGCCTTGAAAAAATATTCTTTAAAAATCCACGTCTGTGGTGGGCCCTTGAAAAAATCCACGCCTGTGGTGGGCCCTTGAAAAAATATTCTTTAAAAAAATTCTCGCCTGTGGTGGGCCCTTGACAAAATATTCTTTAAAAAAATACATGCTTGTGGTGGGTCCCTGAAAAAATATTCTTTAAAAAATCCACGCCTGTGGGGGGCCCTTGAAAAAATATTCTTTAAAAAAATCCACGCCTGTGGTGGGCCCTTGAAAAAATATTCTTTAAAAAATCTACGCCTATTGTAGACCATGAAAACATATTCTTTGAAAAATCCACGCCTAATGTAGACCATGAAAAAATATTCTTCAAAAAAATCGACGCCTATTTAGACGTAATAGCTCTCGCATGCCTTATTGAAAAGTTTTAAAATTCCAAAGAAAACCATCTGTCCTTAGCTATTAAATCTGTAATTTTCAATAATAATAAAAAAAAACAACAACAAAACTCATTCAACATTTGTTCTCCTCGAAAATAAGGCATTCCTATGGCCCTTGTTTTCGCATCATTAAGTCACACATATGTGTGCGTGCGTTTAATGTCTGTATGTGCGGAGCATTTAAACAACTGTTTTTGGTTCAAATCGTTAAACGTGTTTCCGATAAGACTTACAGTGGCGGCGTTATGTTCGCCATAGAGTTAAGAGTCTAAGCTGAACATTCTGCTTGGTCATTGTGCTGCAAGGCCGCACACACACACAGATGTAAAGGGACAACAAAGGAAAACGCAAGATATACATGTGTGTGTGTTTGTCTGTGTATGCATGTGTTGATTTAGTGGGTGTTTGTTGATAAAGGATTTAGTTCATATTGTCTTCTGCCACAACTCAGTATTCGGTCTCTCTCTGTGTCTCTGCAATAATTTACATACATACCCTCAGGGCACCGGCAACAACCAAGACAGATTTGATGGCACGCAAACCCCAATCGTAATGGTCCTGTTTGGATAACAGTTCTCGGCACAGCTCGTACAGGGCAATGAATTTGCGAGCCAGCAAACGTGCCTCCTGGAAACCTTCAGCCACCAACATAATTTCACTGATTAAGGCAAAGTCAGGCACCACCATGGCACAAGGTCGATATAAAGCTTTTAAGTTTTCGGGCAGTTCAGCACGTCCAGCATAGCCGGGGTTCATGGTGATGAACATACCCACGGTGGCACGTAGAACAATAATTTCACCCAAGAAGTTGAACATTAATTTTTTTGCCTTAATGGCGTCCTGAATGCATTTCACTTGGACAGCGACGACGGATAGGACTTCGACGGAAATGCGATTGAATTCATCGAAACAACCCCAGGCACCAGTTTGGGCTAGGCCTTTGTGTATATCACCAATGGATTTGTAATCCATTTGTTCGGAACAATTGAAAACGTAAACCATCATGCCGAGGGCACGACCCAGATCTTTGGTAGTTTCAGTTTTTCCAGTACCAGCCGGTCCTGCAGGGGCTCCACCCATAATGAGATGCAAAGATTGGGTGAGGGTAATGTAACAGCGATCGGTGAGGGGTGTTATGACAAGACGGGGTGTATTGCCCAGATACTCATAGTCATATTGAAACTGGGCATCACAAATATTGGCGAAGCAATCATCAAACTTCGTATCCCAACGATGCCGCAACTGGGATTGCCATTGAAAGGCAGTGACCACCTCAACCTTGGCGGCAATAATTTTCGCCACCACATCCCGACTATGGACATCAATGGTACAAATGGTGCAGATTTTTTGACGATCAGCAGCTGTAAGATCTCCCAGCAGGAGATTGATGAGATGATTCAACTGCATCACCTGCTTCTTATTGTAATCCTTGAGAGCATTTTCATAACGCTGCTGGACCTTGGCAAAGGCATCATTGGTCTCAGTGGTCCACCATATCTGCGTGGTCACCAATGCCGGTTGGGCAGGCCAATCGAATATCCATTGATGTCGGGGTTTCTCTTCATACGAAATAACAGCTCGTCGAAATTGATCCCGCAGAGTGTCACGCATTTTATCCGTGACACGATTAAGCCATACCTCAACTTTACCACTACAATCACAATTCTCCAGGAAGGGTACATACTCTTCATGTTCCTTGGCCACCATGCCACGAGCCAACTTCGTATTGGGTATAAGGGTCAGCGAACCCATGGAGTCATATAACTTTGTCAAATGTTTACACACCATTTTGGGGTTATTACCATTCGAGAGGATATCCAAAAGATCGGCAGAGGATACGAAGTAAAATCGGGGATAAGCCAAACGCTTTGTTTCCAAATAGTCATTCAAAGCCTTCTCACACAGCAGCAGAAGTTTCAGTAGCTGTTCCAAATTATCATAAAGTTTACTACCCGCACGATTTGTGGACCGCACCACATTACGATCGGCGTTCATTGTGGCCAATAAAGTTTTAAATTCCCGATCAATGAAATCAAAACGTTTAGAATCCTCCGGCAATTGAGAACGTATATCCTCGGAACCAATAAAAATACTCTCGAGATATACCCACTTCCTTTGTACCTCAAACCATGAGCCGATAATTTGATCCGCATTTGATAGCTTATGCTGCCAATTGTTAACCTCCGTTTGGAAGTAGCCCACAAATTTCGAAGAGGCCATATTTTGCAGCTGCACCTGATTCTCTTCAAGGGTTTCTATCATCTCCTCACTGGCCTTCAACAGCTTAATGGCCGTGCGATCATGTGGTTCATTTTGAAATTCCATAGTGGCCCAGGTGTTGTGTATATCCCGCAATACCTTCTCCATTGCCATTTCTTTAACCGATTTATCCACAATGTTTTTCACCTCCTCTTCGTACTCATGCAAATTAAGATCTATTAAATCTTTAAGGGTCGTGGAATCATCCATGCGAAATTTAACTCCTGTCGTCTGCATCAGCTGTATCCAATGGCGATCGCGAATGGCGGGATTTTGTAACTCTGTCACCGCTCTCAATGATGTCATGAGGTTCTTCAGCGAATTTTCAGTATACAAATATGGTTCCCAATTGCGCATATCTTTATCCAGGGAGCGGAGTTCTCTACCAAATTTCTTACATTCTTGATCCATAACTTCGATATCGATTTTCTTCCATGGCGTTTTCTTCCAATCTTCAATGGTTGAGGCAATGCTGATGTTAAAATCCCACATAACTTTCATTAGCTGTAAATCACGACGACATCTTTCAATTTTACTTGAATCGGGGCCTTGCAATTCGAAAAGTACTGCCGAACCGTTAAGATCTTGCTGACGTTCTTCCAGTTCGGTAATTTCGACATCAGCTTCGTCGATCAACTCGTAGACATTGCGACAGGGTACATGGAAGAACTGTGAAATGGAAAAGGGAAAATTATCAGGCAAGGATATTTTTTTATTTTTCAAGGGTTCACCACAGGCGCGGATTTTTTTAAGAATATTTTTCAAGGGTTCACCACAGGCGTGGATTTTTTCAAGAATATTTTTTCAAGGTTTCACCACAGGCGTGGATTTTTTTAAGAATATTTTTTCAAGGGTTCACCACAGGCGTGGATTTTTTTCAAGAATATTTTTTCAAGGGTTCACCACAGGTGTGGATTTTTTTTAAGAATATTTTTTTCAAGGGTTCACCACAGGCGTGGATTTTTTTAAGAATATTTTTTTAAGGGTCCACCACAGGCGTGGATTTTTTTAAGAATATTTTTTCAAGGGTTCACCACAGGCGTGGATTTAAAAAAATATTTTTTTTCAGGGTCTCCTATATGCGTGGATTTTTTAAGAATATTTTTTCAAGGGTCTACCACAGGCGTGGATTTTTTAAAGAATATTTTTTCAGGGGTTATAACAGGCGTGGATTTTTTAAAGAATATTTTTTCAAGGGTCTACCACAGGCGTGGATTTTTTAAAGAATATTTTTTCAAGGGTCTACCACAGGCGTGGATTTTTTAAAGAATATTTTTTCAAGGGTCCACCACAGGCGTGGATTTTTTAAAGAATGGTTTTTCAAGGGTCCACCACAGGTGTGGATTTTTTAAAGAAAATTTTTTCAAAGGTCCACCACAGGCGTGGATTTTTTAAAAGAATATTTTTTTCAGGGTCTACTATAGGCGTGGATTTTTAAAGGAATATTTTTTTCAAGGGCCCACAAAGGCGTGGATTTTTAAAGGAATATTTTTTTAAGGGCCCACAAAGGCGTTGATTTTTGAAGGAATATTTTTTCAAGGGCCCACAAAGGCGTGGATTTTGAAAGGAATATTTTTTCAAAGGCCACTGAAGGCGTGGATTTTGAAAGGATTTTTTTTCAAGGGCCACAGTAGGCGTGGATTTTGAAAGGAATATTTTTTCAAGGGCCCACAAAGGCGTGGATTTTAAAGGAATATTTTTTCAAGGACCCACAAAGGTGTGGATTTTTAAAGGAATATTTTTTCAAGGACCCACAAAGGTGTGGATTTTTAAAGGAATATTTTTTCAAGGGCCCACAAAGGCGTGGATTTTTAAAGAATATTTTTTCACACTTACCTTCTTCTTAAGGAATTTCTTGCGATAATTCGTCGATAAATTGTTGCAGAGTAAAATACGCTTTTCAATCAAATCCACCTGATACGATTGTATGGGAGCAATAGCTTGTTTAACTGTTGCGGATAGTTTTTTCACCTTAAGCCATTTTTCAGGAAGTTCAGTCATCTACAAAAATATAATTTTTTAATAATAAAAAATCAACTAAAATTTTTCTCTAGCATACCATTAAAAGTTCCGAATCTTTGAATTCATAATTATAGGTCTTCAATAAATCGACAATTTCTTTTAGCGATTCAAACATATTGTCATATATAAATTGTTTTTCATTAATGGTATTCAATACCGACATAATTTGTATCAAGCCATCAAAATCATCTTTATTCAGTTCCATTTTCAGGGCCACATTTGCATCATCAACGAAGTTGGATAATTCCTGAAAATTTTACATATTTGTATGATAATTTTTCTTGGAAATGTATATAAACGCCTTACCATCAATGAATTCCTCACACGATTAATGAGATCCATTTTAAAAAGACTTATCCATTTGCCCACTTGATTCAGTACCCCGGCCCGAAAACCTTTTTTATTGAGACGCAACCAAATGTTGAAATCTTGAAAGGTATCCCATTTCTGGATTTGTGCCTCCAGGGCAATGAATTTGTCCAACTAAGAACATCCAAATAAACGTTATTAGGAAAATATAGTTTAGTTCAAAGTACATCAACCTGTTCCTTGTATACACTCAGTGGTGGATTATTTTCATCTTTCAGTGGTTTGACTTCGCCTACACCTTCTAGCTCATCATCTCTTTCGCTGGGTGTTAGTGGCCTTCCATATTTCTTAACCTCAGCTAGATATTGCTGCTTATCCCACAACCATAGATAGGAAAATTCCATGAATGTTTTACAATGTTGCCGTATAGATTGAAGACCAAATTTTACTTTGGTCAAAATGTCGGTACGATGTTTGTGAATTTCGACTTTATCGGCGATTTCATCTATAGGGGAACGGTAAATAAATATATGGTTTATTAAAAGTTGGAAACCGATAAATCCACATCCATTACCACCTAAAAACGTAGAGGCATAATTTCGACTGAAGTTGTGTGATTCGACAAATTTAACCTTCTCAACGACAGTGACCATAACTGATGCATCAATGGACTGTTCTCCCAACCCCATTACGCGCAATGACATAAACGTAACCTTGGAGTAACATATTCAATCTAATAAAGAAATGCAGTTTCTTCCGTCTCACCCAAGAGGGTATCCCGACCACTAGACTGGGCCACATCACCGGACCCGACCACAATCCCACGACGGTCGGTTCTATGTACCGAATGAAACCTTCAACCAAAGGCTGTCAACCCAACAAATACATGTTCGGGAATTTTTCAGCATGGGAGCTAAATTACCCGGAATGTTTGCTCCAGATTACCTTGGTCCCTGCCGGGATTGAGAAAATTCATGGTTCCGTTTGTCACAACAGCATCCACCATAGGTCTATATCTGTGAGATGTAACGGATGCGGATTTTAGGAGTGATTCCGGTATAAGCCGGCTACAGGAGAAATGTGGAAGGAATTACAATGCAGACCCTAATTACAAATCGTCACCTTCAGATTACGTGAGTCTCCCGCAATATCTACAATAATAATCTGCATCGCATCTGGTGCTAGGGGACTTCAGTGCTCATCATGAATTATTGCAGTCCTAGGCAATGACCAGAGGGGAATGGCGCTGGACATATCCATCGTGTTCCCAGGTCTGACGAATGACCCGTGATCTTATTTGTGTCAGATCACCTCCATATTATCATATCCATCAATAGACCATGGGAAAACCAATTGGCAAGAAATTTCACCAATTGTCGTTTCAGTAAACTGTCCAATACTTCTGATGCTCGGGTGGCACAAAGGAATTTCCGGGTCATGATCACAGCTGCAGCCGCTCGCTATATACCTCCGGGTCGTACATCGGGTCTGTTTGCAAAAAGGTCAGGAGTAGGAACAAGGTTCATAACTCCAAAAGACCACTTACATGAGGAGCTGAATATCCTTCTATGCGTCAGCACAACAGAATGTTTCGATCGTGATTTAAGTGCAGGAGCACCATCAAATGAGATGTGAGAGGATATCAATCTCGGCGGAAGCCCCACATCCATGACGGTCAGTGGTAAATCGATACTTCCAAAGTCATTGAAGCGGATGCTAAGGAAGCCTTCGGAAACCGGTTCCTCAAATGCATTCGGAAGTGCTCAAAAACCGTGTCAATACTAAGGAAGTCTCAAAAAATAACCACTTTATCGAGTAATTCGACAGGGACTCCTTTAGATCAAGGGAACTTCAAATTTATTGGGATTTTGTAAGGAACTTCTGGATCGAAAGCATTCCGATGCCACATGGTGGCTCTAGTTAATACTTCTACGGAGGAGACAACTTTGAGTACCCTGAGTGCCACTCGGAAAATGATGACAGGGTTTTCTGATCAATCAGGACCTTTGGGGGGGTATCTGAATAATGATAAATTCTTTACATCATTGCGGAAGGAGGCAAGCAAAAAGCAGAACTCGTAAGAAAACCCCCCGAAAAGCGGACATTACACAACGAAACAAGTCCCCAACCCTTCAAGTTGTTATAAGCCAAGGAAGTGCTCGCCAGGAGAGTGGGCTTCTGCGGAGAGAGCAACTCTGGTAACCAAATCTCCAAATAGATTACCTCGACAAAGACCCATGCCAAGAAAGAGGCGAAAGTCAAATTTTCGGTTTCGAAGAAATGGTCGCAGGGACCTATACCGAAGCATAGAGAAGTTTATTTTGGAAGCTTCGGTTTCACCACGTCACCTTGTACAAAGAGGACAAGGTCGGCAAGCTACATTTAATGCACCTATGGTTACCATAATCAAGAGAATTTATGAACTTTGACATTGTGTGACATTGCTTATAACTCTACCTCGCAATTGATCATAGTGGTTATCAGTGAGAATGTCTGCGCCCTTTTTATTCCTAAGAAGGTGAAAAACTAAAATTGTACAATAAGAGCGAATTTATCTCCATGGCGCTTGTGTAATTCGAGGAAGTGCCAAAAGACTAGATTGGTCTGTCGAACACCCAAATCATATAATTATACATAGGTAACAACCTAAGCAGGGCGGCAATAGAGGAAGACCCAATAATTAGCATAAGTAAATATATTGGTCTAATTAAAAAAAAAAACAAAAATCATAAATCTAATGTACCCCCAAAATCTCTCGGTTCCACACCCAACTCTGGTGGATCTTGGGCACATCTAGGCAATATTTCCATCATATGATACATATCCTCCAACAGCGTTTCCATGTGAAATGTAAAACCGACTTTCGATGCTGGATGCAAATCGGGAAAATAACAGACATGCGGCTCTTGCAATTCCATTAAAATCTCAAAGACAGGAGCATCGTGTTCATAACGATTTTCAATTTCCATGCGTAAATAAGTGATGCTGGTTATAACAGCATCCAACAGTTCTTTGGCAATCTCCTCGTCGACATACTTTTCATATTCACGAAATAGTTCACGTTCCTCATCGCTAACCGATTGCAGTAGTTCAAAGCGATGATAGGCTGTTATGATATCTTCTCCTTCTTCCTCCTCTTCGCCATCTTCTTCGGCGAATTCCGTCAATTTTTGTGGTTGTGTAAGACGTTTTTTGTTTGGTTTGTTTGCCGCTGGTTGCTTTGCGGTTTTTGTCTGTTCTTTCTTTGAGGGTTTTTCCTCAGCTGCCATGGCTTCGTTGTCCTCTCCCTCCTCCTCACCTTCTTCATCGCCGGCAATTTCAAAACGCCTTGGTATGTCAAAGAATAGTTTTGCATTTTCATACATCAACCGGTCGATGAGTAGAGCAGTGTCATTAGCTTGTATCACCCTAAAGGCTAAGATTTCCATGCGTGGCTCGGTTTCCAGCAAAGCCTTGGGATTATTGTTTTTGCGTATGTAAAGGGGTTTTTTGCCCCAAGAATTGATGCTGGCCTTAATGGCCGTCACATTTGCCTGGCATTGAACCAAACGTTTGTGTAGATATTCGATTTTTGTAAACACCTCCACAATGAAATTTTGATCTGAAAAGGGAAGTTAGTTTGAAGTCAAATCCAATCGCAAGGCATAGCGGAGTTTACCAAAATTATTCCAGGCAACCCTATCGATAAGGGGTTGCATAAATAATTCATAGAGCATTAATTCCGCTTGAATGAGAGCCTTTTCACTGGGCTTGGCTCGAACATTAATGTCGTTATACCATTCGGCAATTCGTTGCAGTTTAATGCGAGCCTCCTAGGAAAAAAAATCGATACATGATATGGAATGTTGTTGTTATTTAATAATACCCCCTTGACCTACCCAAAATTGCTCCTCTTTGTCAAAGTATTCCTTAATCTCGTCATGGACCTCACAATTCATGAGCAGCATATATTTGGTATCCTTAAGGGCATTTTTTAAATTGGTATTGAAATTTACCGTTAAAATGCCATCTTCATCTTTGGTCAGCAATGGTAGTTCCATGCCTTCTCGTATATGCTTCTTTGCTTCGACGGTCCAATATTCCAATATGGTTTGTCGCAATTGACCTATCTCACCAATCATTTGTTCATACAATGCCATTGTATGTCGACCATGTTCATCCTCCCATAACCTACAAAGAAAAATTGTTATTATGAACAGTAATTTCCTATAATGATATATAAGGGTGTACCGACCAAGGTTTCAGAAAAATAGCTTAGATTTTTTTTTAAAACCCCACGCCTATGAGTGACCTCTTAAAAATATTTTTAAAAAATCCACGCCCTATTTAATACTTACGGATAATCATAAAGTTCGTAATCCGTACGCATCCAAACAATCCGATGTTCCACTTTATTCAAATACGAAACGGCTCCGGAAATTGGTGGAAAACAATGATCGGTGGGTAGAGCCTGAAATGTGTGGGTAGATCCGAATCATTGTTATCAAATATATATTTTCCAGATGTGGACTTACATAAACCCCCTTCTCCTTATAGATCTTCTCAAAAGTGTTAAAATCCACCTTAACCGCCTGAATTTCCTCTAAAAAATCATCGACCAAAATATGCATAAATGGATCCAAATGGGCCTTAATAATAGGCCGCAACAACAGCGAACCACACAACATAAGATCATGTGAATCTTCCAAAGCCTTTTGAAATTGAAATGCCAATTTTCGTTCCAACACGTCGGTTTTCTCTTTAAACATTTTCCTATCCTCTTCAAAGGTGGAATTTACCGCATCCGGATCCAATGGATTATATTGTATATTCGACCATTCACGATAATAACCATTATATTCTTCGAGGATTTTCTCTATATCATGGGTTATCTGACCACCCTTCAAACCACCCACAACGACCTTTTCCAATTTCACAAAATCCCGCCCTGTTTCAAAAAGTTCCTGCAGTACCCGAAGACGTTCAATGAATTTGTCAAATCGGCCGAAAATCTCTTCCGGATGCCATGTCCAATCTTGTGAATTGAATTCTGTACCAACTTTAAATTTTTTCAAAGAACTTCGGGTTTCATTGTAGGTCGTACGATAATACTCCAAGTGGCCAATGTTATTTTGAACCCGTTTGAAGGCCTCGTCAACATCACCTTGAAATATGGAATCGGCTTCTATGGTACGCATGGCACAATCAATTAGGGTGTTGTGTAAAAGTTGAAACAGCAAAACCATATTGTCGAGGGTGTGGAAATATTTTGAGTGGCCCCAAACGAGGCCGACGGTCAGTAGGAGAGGGCGTATGCTGCTGCGATTTTCATCTAAATCGGCTGTTTCGAATTTTTCGACCATTTTTCGCTGGGAAATAGAAAATATTTTAGGGTTTTTTTAGTAGTGAAGTTCCTTGAGGCGTATAAGTGGTGTCGCTACGTATACGCCACAATGGCAGAGCAAATTTAAAGTGCGATAAAAGGTAGTAGAATAAACTGATAAATGTAAATAAGTCATGCGAATGTTTTTTGGACCAAGGAATATATAAATTTGATTGTTCGAATAATGGAAATGTGTAAAGGGATTCCTACTTACCAACGGCGTTAAATATTTGGTAATATCCCTTGCCTCAGTCAATGCCTCCATTACCAATTCGACAATACGACGATAACTACTCTCAAAGACCGATCGTATTTTTTCCAATACAAATCCAATAGTTTTAATTCGCTTCTCTCCCAATTGATCTGCTAAGTTCTCCAAATTTTCCAGACGTGAATCCCAAAAGGTTATTAAATGTTCCGGCCTAGGGAATGCCTCTTTGGAAAATATTTTATCGCGGGACTTAACGTGTACCAAATCTTCCACAGAGTCCAACCATTTGGCTACCATAAATTCTAGAGAGTTCTTCATCATGTGATTTACTTTGCTTAGGTCACTAATTTTAAGAGGAAAAGAAGAACAAGTCATACAAATTAAATTCCGTCGAAAATTATTATCCTCCTACCCTCTTGCAATGGCCGGAGCATTGGCCATAACCTCATCAATGCATATCGGCAGCGGTAGTATGGTACGATTTATTACTAAACCTTTCATTTGGGCAATGCCATTGCGTAGATTTTGCGATTCTGTTTTCATATCATTTACAATTACCGAAGTCCAGCCATTTTGATTAACCGGATTATTGAGCAGCGGAGAGATAACATCATCACAAATCACCGAAAGATTTTCTAGAACATTTGGCAATAAATCACCAATCATTAGAGACTGAAAACAGAACAGACAGAAAAAAACATATGTAATTTCTTGTTAATACATATTTTGCTGAACTGCGCCTAAAAGTACGCATCACACATTGTGGTATATTTCCCAAAATATGGGCAGCGGGTATTTATACCCTTCACCACACTGTGGTGCAGGGTATTATGTCTTTTTGCATATGTTTGTAACAGGCAAAAGGAAACGAGATAGACACATGGTTCCTTTTGAGAATATGCATAGAATCACTTTTTAAGTCGGTTTACGCATGTCTGTCTGTCCGTCCGTTCGTCCGTCCGTCCCTCGGTCCGCAATGTATTTTCGTGAACAAAGTACAGGTCGCATTTATGATCCGATTTGGATGAAATTTGGCACATGTCACTTATTTGGCCCAAAGACGAAACCTATTGAAATTGGAGAAAATCGGTTCAGATTTAGATATAGCTCCCATATATATTTTCGTCCGATTTAAGGTAAATAGTGCACCAAAGTCCCTATATATGCTTCGATTTGCACGAAATTTGGCATAGCGTACTGATTTAAGTCTAGAACGATGTACGTAAAATTTCGTGAAAATCGGTTCAGATTTAAATATTGCTCCCATATATAGTTTCGTCCGATTTAATGTAAATGGTGCACCAAAGTCCCTATATATCCTTCGATTTGCACGAAATTTGGCATAGCGTACTGAATTAAGTCTATAACGACGTGTGCCAAATTTCGTGAAAATCGGTTCAGATTTAGATATAGCTCCCATATATAGTTTCGTCCGATTTAAGGTAAATAGTGCACCAAATATATCCTTCGATTTGCACGAAATTTGGCATAGCGTACTGAATTGAGTCTAGAATGGCATGTATTAAGTTTCGTGAAAATCGGTTCAGATTTAGATATAGCTCCCATATATAGTTACGTACGATTTAAGGTAAATAGTGCAACAAAGTCCCTATATATGCTTCAATTTGCACGAAATTTGGCATAGCGTACTGAATTAAGTCTGGAACGATGTGTGTAAAATTTCGTGAAAATCGGTTCAGATTTAGTTATAGCTCCCATATTTAGTTTCGTCCGATTTAATGCAAATGGTGCACCAAAGTCCCTGAAAATCTTTTGATTTACACGAAATTTGGTATAGCCTATGGAATCTTGTCTAGAATGATGTGTTCTGAGTTTCGTGAAAATAGGTTCAGATTTAGATATAGCTCCCATATATAGTTTCGACCGATTTTAGGTAAATGGTCTACCAAAGTCCGTATATATCTTTCGATTTGTACGAAATTTGGTATAGCCTATTGAATTAGGTCTAGAATGATGTGTGCTGCTGAGTTTCGTGAAAATCGGTTTAGATTTACAAATAGCTCCCATATATAGTTTCGCCCGATTTTAGGTAAATGGTGCACCAAAGTCCCTGAAAATCATTTGATTTGCACGAATTGTGACATATCGTATTGAAATAAGTCTAGAATGATATGTACACCTCCCATATATAATTTCGTCCGATTTTAAGTAAATTATGCTGTGAAGATCCACAGCTAGGCCGATTGACACAACGTACTGAAATTAATATAAATTAGTCTCTGGCAAGTTTGCTTCAAATCGGTTCAGATATAGATATATCGCAGCTTCATATATAATTTCAACTTATTTATGTTAATTGTAGACCAAAAAATCAATAGGTGTCTGATTGAGATTAAATTTTAAACAGTGCAGCATACCGAATATCGTGTGTCAAGTTTGCTTTAAATTACGATTTACACAAATCTGTCCCACTGTGCGCATACGACTCTAAACTTGTCCAAATGAAATGAAATTTAGCATAGTTTCCAGAAAGACATAAAAATCACATATTTAAGTTCGTTCAATTTCATGTCAAAATTCCTTCAAATAGGCGACGTCTTTTCGGATACATATGTAGAATATACCCCAAGGTGGTGAAGGGTATCATATAGTCGGCCCAGTACGACTTGACTACTTTCCTTACTGATTTTAATTATAATTTTTGTTTCGTTTACTCACATCATGCATATTGTTGGGCGTCAAAGTGCTGGGAATTTCATTACGCAGAAAATATACCATTTTGCTCAATGGTTTTTCAGGGAAATTGTATGACGGCACCAGTAAGGAGGCAGCGTTCAGGGTAAATATTATACGTTCCTGATAGGGTTCATTGAGGAAGCCGAAAATTATTTCCTGCAAACATGGAGAGAAAATGTAAAAACTATTAATAGTGTATTTTTTCAAGACCCAATATATAGGCGTGGATTTTTAAAAAATATTTTTACAAGGCCTGGATTTTTTAAAAAATGTTTTTACAAGGCCTATATAAGGCGTGGATATTTTAAAGAATATTTTTACAAGGCCTATATAAGGCGTGGATACTTTAAAGAATATTTATACAAAGTCTAAAACAAGGCTTGGATTTTTAAAGAATAATTTTCCGTTTCGATTTTTCAATATTATCTGATAATTAGTTATAGGTTCATATCCATAAAAAATCCCAAACAAGGTCAATAAATTCGGCAAAACGGAAATGCACTTGCAACTGACCTTTTTCGCCTACACACCATCGCCCACAATCTCTTTCCTATTCACAGCAACAACTATCCGCCATTGCAATTCATTGGCTATTGTTGTTGTTATTTCAATGTTGTAGTTGGTCAAATATTTTGATTTTCAAACTGACTCAACTTTTTTGTTGGGTTTTTGGTTCGTCGGTATTGTTATCTTTGCGTATATTTATTGTTCACGCTAGCCACAACAGCTACTAAACCTATACCTTCACCAACACCTGTCACGTGGCACTATTGTTTGCGAATTTCGCGTCTAGGCCAAAACATGTAGCTGAACACTGCGTCTCGTTGCATATTGCCCAATTTTGGCAATTCCAAATGAGTTTCGTTTGCTTTCGAATTGTGAATAACGCAATGGCAAAGGCTAATATTTTGCTGAGATTTTTGTTGTTGTTGTTCAGTTCACATTCACCTAATTGAGTCCAAGGACATTTGTTTTGTTATATCGTAAAGTCCAGAGTGTGTGTGGGTGGTGGTGACTGGTGGAATGGTGAAGGTAAAAGTGCGTGTTTTTTTTTACTGATAAATATTCTCGTATAAGTCATAAAGTGTTTAATTTTTTGTTATGATTTAACTAGCCAACATTCCGTTTTTAATAATTGTATACCGCGGTTTTGGTTAATTTTGGATTTTCCAATGGAAACTAATATTTATTTATTCTCAAATTTAATTATAGCTTTTAGATACATGCCATGCATTCCGGAGAATTAATTGGTCATATTCCAAGGATCCACGATTCTAAAATTTTGAGTATTTTGCGAATGTATAATAGAGCCATACGGCCTAATTGTTTTTTTTTACAATTTTTAAAGCTTCTTGGAGGGGCCACAAAGGCGTTGATTTTTATAGTCTCTTTGGTGTGGATTTTTAAAAATTTTTATAATCTCTTACTTGGTAAGCTGGACTAGGAATTCTTAGGACTATACAAAAAAATTGCCTACATCGAAAATACCTTCCAAGAACCTCAACTACAAAATTACAGACATATAGGGGCTTATATAGGGGTTACGTCAAAACAGGGATTTATTTCCAAATTACCACATTACATCAACTTCGGTGGGAAATTGGGGGCCAAGAATTCGAAATATGGAAAACGGGGAGGGACCTTTAAGTGGACGCTATATCAAAATTTGGAACAATATGGACATTTTTTAAAGATTCGGAAATTATATATTACAGTCACTTCAAAGCAAGTAATACCTTTAAGGGAACCCCACCCATTCTCGATTTTAATTTTTCAAGATTTTCAATGGGCTGGTAAATCAATACCAATGCTTGTTAAGGTTTGTAACTTTGCACATATAAGATTCAAAAGAGAAGAAAAATAATTTACAAACAATTTGTGTTATTGTTTTGTTGTTGTTTTTTGTAATTAAAGAAAAGTCCATATTTCTGAAGGCGAGCATGATAACTCCTCACTGCAACATCGGAATCCGAAAATTCCAACGGTGTTAGAAAGAGTACATGTCTGGCTCTCGTATGAACTAGGATTATTGACTTCGCTCTAAAATTAACAAAATGGCGGACCTTTGAAAAAATATTTTTGGAAAATCGCCGATTTTTGACCAAAAACCAAGTTAAAAAATAAGGAAGATCTTCACCGATTGGTTTTATCCTAGTTCATACGATAGCTATTCAGTCACAGAGAAACGTGTTAAAAATTGGAATCGATTGGATTATTAGTTATTGAGTTATCGTGCTCGCCAAACGCAAAAGAAAAAAACGCCGTCACTTGATGCTGGCACAATAAATCGACTATATTTTCAAGAGTTCTTGAGATGTTCACTTGAAATTTTGTAGGGACATTCTTGAATTAGTGTAGAATCGAATTAAATAAAAAAATTTTGACCCCGAGAATGGGGGGGTCCCCTTAAAATACCGAAAATCGGGTGGAACCTTTACATGGGTGTTGAGGATCATTTGTGGCTACCTCAACCAGGAAAATACCGAATCTGGATCTTGGAAAGGGTTCATGGTTCTGTGAAGTCATTTTCGTTAACCGTAACTTTTTCAATAATAATAGTTAAAGGATTTCTTTTTCGATCGAAGAAGTTTCCGGATCAAGTTATCTCTGGAGGTGTTGATACCAAATGGTCACGGAGATCTTGTGATTTAACTTGTTGCGACTTCTTCCTTTAGGGACACGTGAAATATAAGACTTATACCAGCATCCTAGGGACGATACCAGACCTCAGAGATCGAAAGGCATAAGAACACAACTTTTTTGTAGTATTGGGCTATAAAATGTAAACCTATATCTAACATATAAAGTTCATAGTTTTCATACCCAGGTTTGAAAATATTTAAAATCAATGTCTATGCATTGAAAACGAAAATAAATACCGCCAACGAGGTAATGACAATTGTTATACCCTCAGACTTATGGCCTATATACGTTTTTCTACGCTAAAAATGTGTCTCATCGAAAAAGTCTCCATGTTGAAGTTGGTTTTCAAATGTCCGCCCACAAATTTCATTCTTACTTTGCACATTATATTGTTTCTTCCAGGCTTAGGTTAAGTTCGAAGATGGGAAATATCGGTCCACTTCTTTTGTTACCTTCACACATCATGTTCAAAATTTGACTGGAAATTAAGTTTATATGTGAGAATCTATTTTGAACCAAAATTTGCACAACCTATTATTTTAACTAATCCTATATAACTTCTGAAAATGGGGCATATCGTACCACAACTTCTGGTACCAACCCATTTTTAAAATTTGTAATAATCATATGAAAAAATGCACATCGTAATATTTTTACCAAAAATAGATCAAGTCGGATGAGTGCCGGTTCTTCCCCCACCAAAGGTTATCATTTATAAAATTTTGATACACATTGTAATATTTTTACAAAACCTAGAGTATGTGTTCAAAGATGGGAGCCATCGTTCCATGCTTCTGGTTCTTCTCCTCCAAAACAAGTGATGATTAGTGCATTCTACATACGATATGTCATAGGCTGGTTGTATACATATGTTGGCCACACCGACTGACAGTTTCCCTAGGGACGAATACCAGTTGAGAGATCAGGTATATGGTTTAGGTGATGGTGATGTGTGCGGAGGGTCTCTATGACAAGAGTCCGTCGACGAGCTGAAGTCCAAATAATCTCCCTACAGTCTGAGGTAATATATGCGAGTTGAAGAGCCTGTGAGAGGATATAGGCGAGTTGAACAATCAAAGAATCTCCTGGGGAAAGTTATTTGGGAGATAAGAAAAAGTTTATTAAAAAGAAAACTAAAAACCGGACCACAGGAATATGAGGATTTATTACTATAGACAAAATGTTTCTCCATTCCCTTTTTTCAAGAAGGGATTAGAAATACTTTTAGATAAACTGAAGAGCCAGAGGTTCTATAAGGCAAACGTATGCACACGGGCTGAAGACAAATTAGTCTCCCTACGGTCAGAGGTAATGTACGCGAATTAAACAGTCAGGAAAGCTCTAGAGCGTATTCTTCGAAAGCGAAGGAAATGCTAAAAAATAAACAGACTGCAGGGACCTGAAGAATTTTTACTATATACAAAAGGTTTTGTATGAACCTCTGAAAAAGATGTTATATTTTGTTTCAAAACAAATGTACTTAAGGATCTGAGGATCTTAGTCCAGGATCTTCTTGTAGAAGATAACAACTCTACTAGGGTCAATGCAAAGTGTAGTTTGGGGGCTATCTGCAGACGAACTGAATGGTGAGAGAGGCCCTATATGTAAAGAACTCTATATGAATAGAACCGGTAGTTCCACAGTCGTCAATTTCTACCCAGAAACAAAAATACATCGGTCTCATGAATTCGATATAATGCAAAATATTAAATAAATGTTGTGGGTGTGGAGGAGATGTTATAGCCGAAATCAAGGGAGTATTTGAAGAAAAAGAGCTAAAGAGGCGATAACCTATGTAGACGGTCTGATGAGCCATGTGTCTATATAGACGAGCTGATGGGCAGGGAGTTTTTGTGGGCCACACCGGCTGACATTTTTTTTACATGATTTTCAAAATAAATTCAGATCGTATTTTTTATCCGAATGGACCGGTAGTATGGAAACGGAAATAATCGCTGCTGCAAACATAAATTTACTGTATCTGTACAGTATCTGAAGAGCCGCGAGTATTTGTTGGCCACACCGACCGACAATTTTTTAAAATATTTTTTTAAACTTTTTAAGTGATTATTTATACTCTTTCGAGTCGAGCTTGATGATCTAAATTTTGCAATGAAAAGGAAAGCCAGGAGAAGAACCTACGTACCCACCATTATGCGACGCGTTTCGCCGTTGGTTAAGCGGCTCATCAGGCATATTGGGCTATGTGGCTTTACAAAGGTCGTACGTTGATAACTTGTATTTATTCCGCCCTGATGCGAAACTTGCATATGCGAATTAAATTCAAATTTGTCAAAGTTCGACATTTGTCTTCATTCTAGGAACAGTCCTTTTCAAAGCAGATTTTTTGTTGTAGCGATGGATAATTAATCCACACACCTACAATTGCTTCCTGGTATACACATGTTTTTGCGCAACCGTTTTTGGAAGTGTTGATGGCTCAGAACGTTAAGCGGTCTTGGCAACATCTGTGTTGCTCTGAGGACGCGTCGCATAATGGTGGGTACGTAGGTTCTTCTCCTGGCTTTCCTTTTCATTGCAAAATTTAGATCATCAAGCTCGACTCGAACGAGTATAATCACTTAAAATCACTTTCAAATGATCACAAAAATTCAAATAACAAAAATTAATTTCAGCCGAGCACGGCTAGGGCTCGAACCTAGGTCCTCAGAGCAACACAGATGTTGCCAAGACCGCTTAACGTTCTGAGCCATCAACACTTCCAAAAACGGTTGCGCAAAAACATGTGTATACCAGGAAGCAATTGTAGGTGTGTGGATTAATTATCCATCGCTACAACAAAAAATCTGCTTTGAAAAGGACTGTTCCTAGAATGAAGACAAATGTCGAACTTTGACAAATTTGAATTTAATTCGTATATGCAAGTTTCGCATCAGGGCAGAATAAATACAAGTTATCAACGTACGACCTTTGTAAAGCCACATAGCCCAATATGCCTGATGAGCCGCTTAACCATCGGCGAAACGCGTCGCATAATGGTGGGTACGTAGGTTCTTCTCCTGGCTTTCCTTTTCATTGCAAAATTTAGATCATCAAGCTCGACTCGAAAGAGTATAAATAATCACTTAAAATCACTTTCAAATGATCACAAAAATTCAAATAACAAAAATTTATTTTTTTAAACAACATGCAGATTGTATTTGTTATCCAAATGGAATTTAGCACTCTTCATTTATTCGACCCACAGACGAACCCTATCTGAACCCCTTTAAAAATCAAACTTAATCTCGTGTGAGTGAAGGAGATTTTAGAGCCATGATGAAAGGAGACTTTATATACGAGCATGTCCTTCAGCTCCTCTATAAAGACGAGCTGAAGAGCCGAAAGTCTACGTAGACGATCTTAAGGGTCTGGAGCCTGTAGGGAGTCTTTGTTGGCCTGGGTGTGTGAGTTAAATAACATTTTTGTTATGTTATTTAACTCGAGTTAAATAACATTTTTGTAAACGAACTGAAGGGAGTCTTTATCGTCGAGCTCATGGGCTGAAATCTTTATAGACGAGCTGTGGAGTCAATAGTATATTTTTTCAAACAAAATTCTGATCGTATTTATTATCTGAATTAAATGAATATACCACTCTTCATTTATTCGCCCTTCAGAAAAACCTTTATTTTTCCATAGAAGACCTTTGAACACTTTTTTCCTTCAAGCCTCATAAAATTTTTTATTTTATAATTTTTGGTTTCTTATAAGTTTTAACTAATAGATACATATGTAACCTTTAAAATGAATATACATATGATATACTTTAAGCTTGATATACATATTTTATTACTGTTTTAATGGAGGAAGTCAAAGTGTTTAAAACGGCCCCCCAGGGGGGCACCTTTGAACAAAGCTTGGTATTTTTTAACGGCATGGTTTTTTTACAGTGTTTATGTGCAAATATATATGTATTGTATTCATATATATCAGAAATGCATTTATTTATTAAAAAATATATACAAAAATATTCGAAAATTAAAAAATTCTGATCAAAATTTATTAAAACATAAAATGACATAAAAACAAAAATTTATATGGTGAAAAATACAGCTAATTTAGTAATCTTATTAGCCCATTTGAATTTTTTGAGAAATCGAAGCCAAAAGTTAAAAACTCCGTTTTTTACTGGAGTTTAGTGGGCATGTTCAAAGGTGCCCCACCTGTGAAATATTATGGAAATTTATAATAACTTTTTTTGTAGGAAATATATATGAAAGAAAATACATTTGTTATGTTTGAAATGATTATTGGAATGCAAAAAATTTGTTTCACGAAAGAAAACTATCACAGAATTCTTCCTGCGCCCTTAATACCAACAGATTAAAAGTTTAAAATAACACAGCGAAAACATGGTCACCCATGCACAATTTGTCGACAACTGAAGAAGCTAGCCAAAGTGGTTTACGCAGATAGAGAACAAGATTGCCATATACAAAAATGTGGTTCCGGGTCGGAAAAATTTTAAAACAAGATTTTATGAGCGCTGTTCAAAGGTGCCCCACGTTCAAAGGTGCCCCCCTCTCCCCTATATATTTCCGTCCGATTTGCACGAAATTTGGTATAGCGCAATGAATTAGGTCTAGAATGATGTGTGTCAAGTTTCGTGAAAATCGGTTCAGATTTAGATATTGCTCCCATATATATTTTCGTCCGATTTAATGTAAATGGTGTACCAAAGTCCCTATATATCTTTCGATTTGCACGAAATTTGGTATAGCGAGCTGAATTTAGTCCAGAATGATGTGTGTTAAGTTTCCTGAAAATCGGTTAATATTTAGATATAGCTCCCATATATATTTTCTTCCGATTTTAACTGAACTGGTAAGTTTCGTGAAAAACGGTTCAGATTTAGATATAGCTCCCACATATATATCTTTGCGTTTTGCAGATTTTAATCGGGTGTCTGATTGAGATTAAATTTTGAAGAGTGCGGTCTATCGTGTATCAAGTTTTCTCTAATGCGATTTACATAAATTTGTCCCATTGTACGCAAACGACTCTAAAATTGCCTAAATGAAATGAAATTTAGCATAGGTTCGAAAGGCATAAATATCACGTTCAATTTCATATCAATGTTCTTTCGAAAAGGTGGAGTCTGTTAGGAGACATATGTAGAATATACCCAAAGTGGTGAAGGGTATCATATAGTAGACCCAGTCCGACTTTTCTACTATCCTTACTGGTTTTGATTTACATTTCAAATTAATTTTTCTTTTCTTATTACCAACGAATTTCATATTTCAGTACCCATTTCCAATATACTAAGAATTAGTCAATACCTATAGACTATTGAACTATCAATTGAATTGGAACAAAAAAAATTTTGCTAGCAAATCCAACAAGATTTAAAATCCTGCACAAACAATAGATTTTTATAGGTCAATTTGAATATTTGGTCATTCGGTCATTGGGCAATCAATTCCCAATGTCCATTTAAAATCTTCATACCTTCATTCATTCACATTGAACTTCTTGTTACTTAAGCGCTTACCTTATATTCATTGGTGCTTATCATTTTATTCCACTTTTCCTGTTTCAGTCTCATGGTCTTCATTATGTAATTCCATAGGAATTCAGGTCTTTCGTCGATTTTCTCCTTCTTTTTCTCATCGTCGGCCATAATGGGGGCACAACAGAAAATAAGAATAAGTTTATGGGCGTTTAATGGAGGACGATGGATCTGTTGAAAAGAGCACACACACAAAGAGAGAAACATAAATAAAAAGAGAAAATTAAATGAAATTTAAAAAATAAAAATAACATGGAACATCAGTATTCAAGCCGGGTCGGGTTCGGCTGGGGTATCCTTGACAATTGTTAAACGTGCTTAATGTGCTGTTTTCCTTCATGTTTGGTATTCCTTCGTCAAACTGCCATTGGCGTTGTTGTTGTAGTTTTTTTTGTACTCTCCAATAGTCATTGACTATCAAAAGTTCCAGCGCATAAGAGGCTTAAATAACTGAATGACCGACAAACAGGCAATACCACCAGTATGCCAGCCAGCCAGCCGACCCACCAACCATTCGACCCACAAACAACAACAGCATCATTTTTTAAAGAAAGGAATCCCAAACAGGACGAACACAATTAATGAACATTTATTTCCTACTTCCGCAGCCTCCCTTCTTGTCCAGCACCCAAACATTCATACTCACAGAAATTCCAAAATGAATTGCAACGAACGAAAAAAATCGTTGTTTATTGTTGTTGTATTTGTTGCTGCCGCTGTGTTTATTGCGATAATTGAAAGTATTTTATGTTGCAATTCTCGTCTCTTATCAAATTGTTTCGGGCTGTTTTTTTCCTTCGGAATTTTCTTTATTTTCAGAATGAATTCAAGTGGAATTTTCTTCTGTTTACTGTGACTACTTTTCCAATGATGAGAAAAAATATTTTATTTTTCAATTGTCATTATTATGAAAGAATTTGGTAAAGTATTTATATGAACGTTATTTTTTGTATATGTCTGCATTTTCGTAAGGGGAAGATAGAGAACGGGTCTCTAATCGTCAAGGACCTGTTCAGGGTAAGTGATTTTTTTAGAAGAGCTAAATAGGCAGAGGATCTCCAAGGCAAGCGAAAAGGCCAGAGAAGCTCAGGACCCAAAGAGAGTGTAATGGAGAGGGTCAGAGGCTCTATAGGTCTGTAGAAAAAATTATCCTACGATCGATGTACGGGAAAAAATGAGAACAGGTCTCCAAGGGTCAAAGGCCAGCTAAGCGTAAGGTATTTTTCTAGAAGAGCTAAATAGGCAGATGGTCTACAAGGCAAGCGGAAGGACCAGAGAATCTAAAGAGAATCTAATGGGGAGGGTACGGGGATTTATAAGACTGTAGAAAAAAAAACATTGTACTCTGAAACCTGAGGAACTTAGCAATTCAGGACCTGTATTCTTTATAGCAAAAGTGTTTATATATTCCCAAACCTTCATGTAAAGGAGAAGAGCTTCACTACGACAAAAGACGAGATAATGGGTCAGTCACAACAAAAAATCAGCAGTATACTGATGACAAAGACAACATTTCGGAGGACTGATTTTTGTATATAAAAATATCTCAGACACCGTGAAATAATTTGTTTTAACCAAAATTACCTCAGACGCTGACCAACCGACGAAAATGTTCAGCATGGCAAAGGGAAATATGTTTCTACAAACAATTCCCTTAAACAAGAAAAGTATTTTCAGAAAAATGTTCCTAAAGAGCTGAAATGCTGTGAGTTTTTATAAAAGAGTTGAAGGGCCTTCACCTCTTCCATTTAGACTACATATATGGAAGAGGTGAAGGGCAGGATTATTATATAGACGAGTTGAAATGCAGTGAACGTCTAAATTCGCGAGCTGAAGGCAGGAAATCTGTATAAATAAGATTAAGGGCAGAGAGCCAATGTAGGCGTGCTGAAGGTGGACTCTATGGATGGGGCGAAGAGAGTATATATAGGCAGAATTCTTATCATTTCTTTCCATTTTGAAGGGAGTCTTTCCATTTTGAAGGAAGTTTCTACAGACAATCTGAAACTTGGAGTATTTATAGACGAACTGTAGATAGAAGTCCTTATAGACAATTTTATAGGCGTGCTGAAACTGGGAGTTTTTATAAACGAGATAAAACATCTGCCACTCAGCGTCCCGAGTGGGAGATGCAAATTTCTAGAGAAACTTGTTAATATACCTTTGTCTAAATTTTGGTAGATAAATAAGGAGACAATTTCTCTAAGGCCAAAGACCTGCTGAGTGTTTAGATATATTTATAGCCTTATGGCTAATGAAGGTATATACATACGGTGAGGCCCCATGTCAGAAATGTCAGTCCGTCTGTCTGGCTGGTGACTACACTCTAGAAGGGAATAATCAAATTATCCAAACTTTGCACATCTTAATATTTCTTCCAAACTTAGTTTAAGTTCGAAGATGGGTACCTCCCCCATAAAATGATCAAAATTGTGATAAATATTAATTTTATAATAACATGGAAAAGGACTATCCGATTTAACGAAACCTTGTACAGAAGGTCAAAATTTTAAATATTTATATTCTGGTACCTCCCCTCAAAGGGTCAACACTTTTAATATTTATGAATCCTATATCCTATATATCAAATGTTCGCTAGCTTGGGAAAAAGGTTTCGCAGGGACCTACAGAAAAACGTTTTTTACAGTAAAAATTCCTCTTGTTTGTGAAAATGTTCTTAGCTCCTGAAGAACCCACTCGAGAGATCTACGGAATATTGGAGAGTGGAAGGCACTTGATAGATAAGATAATTTCTGGAGAGTGGAAGGCACTTGATAGATAAAATAATATCTCCAATATTCCGTAGATCTCTCGAGCGGGTTCTTCCGGAGCTAAAAACATTTTCACAAACAAGAGGAATTTTTACTGTAAACAACGTTTCGTATGGATCTCCGATTTTTTTCCTACGGAAAAATGTTCGCTAGCTTGGGAAAAAGGTTTCGCAGGGACCTACAGAAAAACGTAATTTCAATGACTTATGGAGAAAGACATCGTCATAACACGCATAGGCGTTAGTGATATTTTTTAGATGAGCTAAATGTAAAAAAGTGTTCCTACGGTCAGTGCATCAGACCGATGCACTAGGCTAGGTTATAGGCGAGTTGAATAGAATATGCTCATAAAGTAAGACTGCAGGGAACTGATAATTTTTTACTGTAGACAAAAGGTTTCGTATGGACCTCTGAAAAAAGAGGTGCTGAAGAGCCAAAGGGCCATTGAAGCAAAAGTCGAGAGAGATAGGCGAGCTGAAGGTGAAATAGTCTCCCTACGGTCTGAGGTACTATTGATTTCGATTTGCACTAAATTTGGCATAACGTACTTAATTTAACTTAGTGTGATGTCTGCCAAGTTTCATGAAAATCGGTCCAGATTTAGATATAGCTTCCATATATAGTTCCGTCCGATGTAATGTAAATGGTCAAAGTCCCTATATTTCTTTAGATTTGCACGAAATTTGGCATATCGTACTGAATTGAGCCTAGAGTGATGTCTGCCAAGTTTCATGAAAATCGGTCCAGATTTAGATTTAGCTCCCATATACATTTTCCTCCGATTTAATGTAAATGGTCCACCAAATTCCCTATATATCTTTCGATTTGCACGAAATTTGCCGTAGCGTACTGAATTGTGCTGAGTTTCGTGAAAATCGGTTCAGATCTAGATATATATATATATATATATATATATTTGTCCGATTTAATGTAAATAATGTACCAAAGTTCTTATGTACCGTACTGAATTTAGGCCAGATTGATGTGTGCCAAGTTCCGCGAAAATCGGTTGAGGTTTAGATATACCTCCCTTATTTATTATCGACTGATTTTAAATAGTTGACGCACCAAGGAACCAATATATGGCTGATGGGAACAAAACGTACTGAAATTAGTATAACATAACCTGCGACAAGTTTTGTTGAAATCGGTTCATATTTTGATATAGCTTCCATATATATTTTCGTCCGATTTTAAGTTAATGCTGCATTAAACTCCTCATGTTTGTCAGATTTACATGAAATTTTGCACAATGTACAAAATTGAGCATAGATAAACTGCACGAAGAAGCTGTGAAACGTTGGACCCAATAAAGTATAAGTCTCTATGTCTGTACCGAGCTATTGCGTGCCGTTTGAGACGAGCTGTAGGAAGTCATTATATAGAGAAGACAAGGAGGTTCTTCCGAAATAGTTTCGGTATTTTGAGGATTTAGCAGAATTTTCCAAGTAGATTGACATGTTGAGACCCTGGAAGAAGAGATAATCTAAATTTTCATTATTGGTTTATATTCTGACATAGCCCTCTATAAAGGTACCGCTCATTTTATGCATATTCATGGTCTTGGGATCATTCCCATTTTGAAATTGTGAATATTTGCTATTGTTATAAAAAAAGTCGATATCATGACTACTTCTTCATAAAAAATACTCTTCTCATATTAGAACAAGGATTTCAAAGTAGAACAAGTCTTCAGCTAAAGAGCTAATATTAAAATTTGTTAGGTGTTTGAAGGTCCTGCTTTTTTCCAGTACTCTAATTTTTTAGTCCCGAAGCACCCTATTTCCATAAAAACCTTCCACGATAACAATTTAGTTTAGGAGACTTTTTCAGTAGATAAAAACCTCTCAGCGCCATAAGGAGGCTTCTTTCTATAGATAAAACCTTTAGGTCCCTGAGGATTACCTTTTTTATAGGCAAAAAATTCCTCTGGTCCCTGAGTATACTTGTTGTTATAAAATACAATTTTTTCTATAGAAAAAATCCTCTGAGGGGACGTGATTATATTGGAAAAAAAAATCATCAGGTCCCGGAATAGACTTTTTCTTTAAAGAAGAATCATTCGGATCACTGAGGTCACTTTCTGAGGACACCTTTACAATTGTCTCAGGTCACTGAGAAAGCCTTTTTCTATAGAAAAAATTGTCTAATGTAACTGAGGATCTCCTTTTCTATTGAAAAAATGCTTCAGTTGAGTTTTTCTTGTAGGAAAAACTCTAAATTTGTCCCTACTAGTATTTTCCTCATTAATAAAAGATTCCCATTTCAATTATTGACAACCTTTACTTTTTTTCCAAAAATTTCAAATTACATGCTGTTTCCCAGAATCCGCCATAATTA